TGCTCAAATTGCCCAAATTGGGACAATAAAGACTTTCTAATCTAATCTTGTCTAATTCTAAGTAGTTTTTGCTCTACATCTTTCTTACTCTGTCACATTTCTGTCTGCACTCGCCAGACTGACCAGCTCCAATAAAGCCCACTTAGCCCCATGAATGGACTAATTTGTCTGCATTAAGATGGATCAAGATTGTGTGGAGATAGGGGGGGACTAGCAGCCTTTAAGCTGCTCTGTCAGGCTCAGGGATGATGGTATCAGTCCTCCGTACTAAACTCACCACAGCGGAACATCTGCTGAGCTCGACTCATCATGATAACACAGTGTCTGTCAACAGCAGCCCTCAGCTCAGCCTCTCCTCAACTGCTTTTGTCAGGTTGCGCCATCTTGTGTCGTTTATGTGTGTGTACCTGCAGTTTTTCTTGGGAGAGATTTTAAAACTAATGTCAGCTGTCTGAGGAAAGCAGCGGCGGCCCCAGTCACTGGAGAATATGGTGGCATTTTATAAAACATATGAATACAGTTACGTAGCTCACCAACAGAAAAGATGATGGTTTCTATTAGTTCAAACCACTAAGAAATTATGCACAGACACTGTATGTTGTATCTGTCATGTCCTATTTCCCTGCCTGAAGATGATCAGCAGGCTGTGTTTTAGTGGTTAAATAAGGTATTGCTACAGCTGAGTTATGTTTAAACATAATAGAACTTTAAGATGAAGCAGATAAAGAGGATTTCCTTGGAAACACCAAACACACCATGTGAAGCTCTCTAGAGTGTAATTGTTTTACCACTGTAGAAAGCTTGCTCCAGAGCCAGACATGACATTAAATAACTCACAGGCTGAGTGGTCCTCACCAGCTACCAAAGCTACGACATTAAAACCACTTACCTGATAGGACTCTACAGGACCTATGAAGATGTCCTGTGGTTTCAGGTACCAAGACTTTAGCTGCACATCTCTACCGTACTGTAAGTTGTGAGTCGGGGCCTTCGAGGATCGAACTTGTTTTTCACTACATCTTGATTGATTGGAATGAGATCTGGGGGATTCTGAGGTTAAGTCAACACTTTGAAGTCTTTGTCGTGATCCTAAAACCGCTCCACAACAATGTTTGCAATGTGACAGGGAGCATTTTCCTGCTAAGGTTTCCCATCTGGAGAGTCACACCAGGATGTCGTCTTCCCATAACGCATCCTTCTGACATCTCTTGCCCCAGTAAATAATGCACATACACCACATGTTGTAAAAGAAGACATGATTCTTCAGACCAGGCCATTGCTTCATGGTCCTTTTCTGATGCTTACACTGTAGGTGTTGTCGGTGGTGGTCAAGGTTCAGAAATGTCACTCTGGCTGGTCTGCAGCTACATTCTGACACCTTTATGTAATAACTGGCATTAAGATTTCCAGCAACTATAGTAGGTGTCTAAGACCCTGGTAGCTGGTGTACCAGTTGTCCTTCCTCGGACCACTTTTGAGTCAAGACTAAGCCCAGGAACATCCCACCAGACCTGCTTAGTTTGGAGATGCTCTGACCCACTGTGTAGCCAATACAGTATGGTCCTTATGAAAGTCACTCAGATCCTCAGGCTGTCCATTTTTCCTGCTTCTAACAAATCAACTTCAAGAACTGACCGGTGCCACCCCTTGACAGGTGCAATTTCAACAAGATATTCGATGCTGCTCACTTCACCTATCAGTGGTTAAAATACTACGGCTGATCAGCATATATGCAAAATGAGCCCTTTAATACCTCGACACGAGATTTATACGTCAACCACTTGAGGAATCACGTGTTTGAAGGTGAAGCTGAAGCTCAGACACAGCACCCTGCAGCAAATGGCCATCAGTGAGCAGTGCAGATCCTGAAACGCGCTACACCCTGCGTCACATGGAAACACAGCGTCCTGTCATTACAGGAGCTCTTTGTGACTCAACCATTTCATATGCAAATGCCGTGCCTCTGATTTCTTTTGATTCAGCCCTCCTCGTTGGCTGTGGGTCAGACCACGCGCACACGAGGGCTGTTCAGGTGTAATTGCCTTTCAGGGCTAATTGTCCCGGGCTCTTCTTGCTTTTAGAAGCACCTGTGTGTGGATCAAAGCATTTGATGTGTGTGTCAGCTTTGTTTCAAGTGGGTGTCCTTACAGCACACAGATTGTCAAGTAATTGGCTCTCCAGATATTTCTGTGGCCAGAGTGTTGAAACAAGAGCTCACCTTTTATTAAAAGAGAGCATTTAAATGGCTAAGTAAGTAAAGATCATGAAAAGGTTTAATAACAGTGTAATTGTCTGGAGATGGAGCGTAAATAACCCAAGTGAGATATTGGAAAAATCAGAAAGGTTCAATATTGGGCCACTGGTTCATCGCCCTCAGTTCACTGGTTATATGTTAAATCGTAATAAATCAATGCACGTCTAATTTCGCCCATTTGACCTTAGTGGTCACATCTGTGTTTTCCTGCTCAGCAAACAGAGAACTTGCAATTCACCAAGTCAATTGGCTAACCAATAAAACCTTCAAAGGAGATGGTTATATTTGCAAAGCTCAAAGACCCGACGTGTCCTGCCCTCTTCCTCGCTGATATCAAAGAAACATATGCACATCACAAGGTCACAAATGAGCAAGCGGAGAATATTTTTAGGCCGACAGCAATCCAGATGTCTAATAAAACTGGAAATGAAAGATGAGCATGTCGAATGTCAATATTTGAGTTTTAATATTACTGAGCATGTGGGTTTTTTTTTTTTTTTCTTAGGCCTTTTCCCCGCCAGTTAATTTTTTGGGTGACATCCAAGTAAAGACGAAAGGTTGTAGCAAAACCTGTTGAAAACAATCTTTGATTTACTGTGTAACAAAGCATTTATAGGGAAATGCTACAATTTTTACAAATGCTGTAATATGACCAGTTGGTAAATTTTCAAATCCAGTGGAGGCGAGTGCGTTACCATGCCTGGAGGGGAGGGGTCTAGTGGCAGCAGAGGTATAAAGGCACCCTGGATAGAGTTGGGACACATAACTAATACTGGATCGCATCCTGCCGACATCATTTTTTAAACGTATTTGTAGCCGTTTATAGTCAAAAAAAACAACCAACCACTGAAGAAACTGAAGAGAAACAGAACTTGTCCTTGATGAAAAATGGATACCTGGAAGTTCCAGCTTGCTGTTGTGGCTTTCTGTGCTTTAGTGCAAACCTATCAGGGACTGTCAGGTTGCGCAGAAGAGGAGAGAGGGTTGTCCAAAGACTGGCAGGTGAGAAACACTAATTTATTGTTATAAAATAAAATTTAAAAGAAAAAAAAAAGCATAGAATACCACTATGGACAAATCATGATTGGATGATAAATGTATTGAAATGTCTGCTTGATTTATGGTTTAACCAGTAAAATCAAGGTACTACATTTAGGGAATAGTTGTAAATTAAAAAAAAAAATAATAATAATAATAAAACTTTATTTTTTCGTTTCTGGCAGGATGAGCCACTGGAGACTGTTCTCACCAACCCAGTGGACAGTCTGATCAAAAGATCCAAAGCCCTTCGCTTCTATGGACTAATGGGGAAACGATCAGGTTGTCTTAACAGCATCCCTGCATGAACATTGTTTTTGTCTCTGTATGTGTACAATTTGTGTTTCAAATTTAAATTTTTCTACAAGTTTGTGGTAAAGAGGATGAATGGGCACGTGCATGATGTTGTTTTTTTTCCTTTACAGGTAAAAAGAAACCTTTTCAAGTAAACAGACGTAAGTAGCGCCACTGAAAAAACTGCAATTTTCTCTAGAATGCAACCATTTTTCAAAACAAGTAATGCACATTGAACTTCTGTTCCAGCAGCGTCTTAAACTGCTTTCATCTTCTTATATCTGTAGGAAATAAAGGAGAGACGTTTGTGGGTCTCATGGGAAGGAGCATCTCCAGTGGTGGTAGGTTAAAAAAAAAAACATTTAAAAAAAAATGCAGAAACATAACGTAAAATATCAAGGCAGCTTTATTGATATTAAAAATATCAAATTGCTAATACACATTAAACAGCTATGATTAGAAGTACAAGGCAAAGACAGTCCTGTTAAAATGTTTTCTGTTTATTACAGAATCTTTAACCAGAATAGTTCCGTCTGCAACAACCACTGCGATCCATGTTTCGGAGAAACCACACAAGCAAGGTATGATTGTATCAGTATAAAAACCTGAGGTTGTTTTATTTCTATGTGCATTCTTACAGTGGTGTTGTGTTCATTTTATCTATTTTTTTTTTAATATTCTCAGCAAATTAAAAATATCTGAGTTTATTTTTTTCCACTATTTGGCAGGTTCACCAGAGGAATGGATCCAAATCTTGTATTGATGGAGCGAAAAAAAGCAAAAACAAAACACATCATTATGATCTATACAATTTTACACCAACCAAAGACGTTACCATAAATCATACTCCTAGAAATACACCCTGCTTATAGTTTCAATTCATGCTAACAATTATTGTATTAATCCCAAACAAGAACAGCTACCATCTTCAAAATGCACATTGCTTGTAAGAAATAAAAAATAACCTGTAAATGCTGCCAAATACCGGTATGTATTTTTTTGCACGAGCAAAGCAAAACATTCATGTTATCCACCACAATGGACAGTTTATCATTTAACATTCAGCGCTAAGTAGACGTAGGCAGTTTTCAACAAAGAGGACAGACTCTCTACTTGTAACTGTTTGAGTTAAATCAATCGATGTGGAACGTACGACGCTTGAAGTAGAAATAAAAGTAAAATATAAAAATAAAAAAAGTTTTTTGTGACACAGATAAGCAAAAAATAAACAGGGTAAAAATGTGAAAGAAAAAAAACAACACTGGTCTTTGTAGACAGTTCATAGGTCTAGGCTACTTGTGGCTGGTGAGGCTGGAGGTGAATTTATTCAGTAGCCTGAGAATCTTAGTGCTTATGTCCCTTTGGGAGGGGTCCATTTTAGCGAGCTTGGGTCGATGGTTTTGTTGCTATTGCCTCGTTTGATCTCCTTTGCTTTCCACTCATCAATCAGGTCCTAGGAAAAACAATCATAAGGCCAAATGTCAGATGCAGGGATGAGCTTCAGCAGGTTATGGCAAAAATGATGATGTTTGTTTTATTACACTTTCAGATTTTACTAAATGCTGCACTGCTTGTACTTCCACATTTTGCTACATCTGTCCAAATCTCTGCCATGAAAAAGACTTTAAATAAAGGTTTTCACAGTGCATCATCTGGAGGTAAAAAATAAATCAATAAAATACTACCACAAAACTCTTTACAGTAAAGTAGAGGTTAGCTAGGCAGCTGTGTGCAGAGACTCCTACGGTCTCGACTTTTAGTCATTCAGTCACAGCAATTCCGACAACGTGTGACCAAAAATGACATTGAAAAGAGTAAAATAAGACATTCTAGTTATTTTATCTACAGGGTGAAAGAATAAAACACCATTACTAATGCAATAAAAATAGAAATATGTAGACTAAATCTTGACACTTTGCCACAATAATATTATCTTGATAATTATCCACTGTTTCCTCTTAGGTTGTACAAAAGGAAACTTACCTGTCGCTTCAATACTAAATGCTTTCCTTTCCAATACTTCAGCATCTGAAGAGACTGCAGGGTGCTCACAATGTCCACCGGATTGACCGCAGTTTCCTGACTGATTTCTGTGCATCAACCAAACATTAAAACGATAAATATTTTTGTTGTATGTGTGTCTCCTTTTTTACCTGGAAATGAACCCTCTAATGTGTTTCATCCATCCTGACACTCAGCCATATTTTAAGCTTCCACATGAGAGCGACTCCGGTGGGAAAACTGAATTATGAGGAGTGTGTTCTCACTGACCTTTGATGGAGATCTCTTTGCCTTGAAAGTTGTACATGTATCTGAGTAACACCTCCTTCCAGTAGCTGCGGTAGCTGATGAGGCCCAGGTCAGACAGAGGTCTCTCTGGTGAGCCCACCTTCTCCTCCACTTTGGACAGCAGGTAACCTAAACAATGCACAGGATGGTCAGCAAGAAGAATCCAAATTCGAGATTTCAATAAAATCTGCAAACAGACCAAAAACACTCCTTAAATAATGCTGGTTTAGTGAGGTCATTGCTTTTGATGGAGATAATCAAGTGTATGCTGGATTGATTAATTGACTGTTAGGACAGTTTGACACAGTAAACATTCGAGAAATGAGGGAAAAATGTGACAAAGTGTATACATACTGAAGTCAATGAGCATCTTTCCAAAGCCTTGTCTCATGTACTGTGGCATCGTCAGGATACAGGACACATTGTAGTTCAAGAAGGAATTCTTCTCCTTTAAGTAATACAAACAAAAAACATTATAGATACTTCTGCATGTTTACATAATTTAAAGAAACTATAACCCTTGCACGGGTACATTTCTGGTGTCTACATGTAACATTAATCTCCCCTGGTTTTCTCTTACCTTAGAAAAGTAGCCCACTAAATGGCAGCCAGTGTTGTCGGCTTCAGTCATGACATAGAAGAGAAAAGGCTCCACGTCGTAGTAAAGTGTCTTGTGGTCCAGGAAAAGCTTGGCAAGTAAACACAGGTTCTGGCAGTAGATCTGGAGATAAAATGGCACTGAATTACTTTATTGTAGCAGCTTATTTGATTGTCCTAAAAGCATGACATCACCTTTTACGATGCTTGCTTTGGAGAAGTTTACATCGCCGTAAACGATCTCCCACTAGAGACAAAATCAACACGACCTACCTTATTCTTCTTGCCGTCAACTTCGAACACAGATATGGAGCCCTTTCTGTACACCTCGTCTCCTGGAGGATGCTTCCATACACACTTAGCCTGAGAGGACACGTGACAAAACATGTGGTAAATACTTTCATTTTAATGCCACAGTTAGGCGATGTCATACAAGTTCTAAGCGAGGACAGTTTCTGTGCCTGTAATGTGTTCAGGGGTTAGGAAAAATAACAGAGGTAAGGCGGGGTTGATCAACAGAAGAAAGGAACAAACTGAAAATAAAGATGGCTTAGCGAGCAGTAGGATACAGCGGAATCCACACATTAACTTGAAAGGTCCAACTGGCAGAACATGTCATTGTCTACCCACTGTTTCCTCAGTCAGAACTGGCATTTAACTGAGCTACAGTGTAGACACCATTTTTATAAATAAAGTAGGTCTTCCTAGTAGGGTTTCCTAGGACTGTATACAGACAATAACATATTCTTGCTGTATACACAAAAGTATTTCCCATAGACATATAATGAACTATTGTCAGATCTGAAAAGGGTTTTTTTTTTAAATAAAACTTCAAGTCATATCTCACCATGTGTCTTCTGAGAATAGTTTGGCTCTTCATGTACTTGAGACAGAATTCGCAGACGTAGAGACGACCCAGACGTGCGTACTCCTCAGGATAGGGCGAGTGGTACCAGGTGTCCAGCTCGTAGCGGCCAAACAGGATGGTCTTGATCATGTTACTGCCCTCAGTGATCTGACCCTGGATACGCAACTTCTCCTGAAGGACGGATGGCAGAATGGAGAACGTTGTGTGTTACTGGTGGTTTCAGAACCAATATGTGTGATTCGGTTATCCAGAATAAACAGAAATTTAACTGTGGAAACAGAACAATACTAATTACGGTCAATGTCTTTGTAGCTAACATCAAAAGGAGTACCACTTAACAAAGGTTCACCACACACTCCTGCCCCAGTTATATTTTCATCTAATTCTTTAAAAAGCAAAATATGTATTTCTTGCAGGTGTGACACGGCTATAAAACCCCTCATTACCAGGTCTTCAGACGCACGGGCCTGGGCTTTCCTGAACAGCTCCAGGTCATATTCACTGGTGATGTTCTCCAGCAGCGGCTCTCTGGTGTTGCCATGTGTCTGCCGATGGTCCTGTGGACCAAAGCGAAAGACAAATAACAGATGAGACATCCAAAAGGCTACAAGGCAGCAGGTGGACAACTGCATGTTGGACTGCTGCTGATGTACCATGTGCTTTTCTTTCTGCTCCTTCTGCAGGCCAGAGTTTCGCCCCTTCCTCAGCTCAGCCACCTGCTCTTTGTATTTGCTCTGTTTGGATGTTGGTGTCTGGAAATCAAACATAAAAGTAGACTATTCAGTTTCATGGTAATATGAGAAATGACAAATAACAATTAAAACATGACTCAAATAATTAGATATATTATAGAACCATAGACACAACAATTATATATAACTTTCACATATTTGCTGTTAAAAATTTAAATAATGTGACTAATGTGATGTCAGTCATTGCAAAAGCAGACTCACCTGATGACGAGTCGCATGGCGTGAGTTGCTTTCCTCCTGTGCCTTCACCTCCTCTTCCTGTTTCTCACGACTGATGGCTTTTACCTGACAATAAAGCATCAAGTGTGTATTAGAACTCTTGTTCTCTCTGACACCGGGACAAGCTGCAGCTCACAATGCCAAACATTTTATCCAGTTTGCTAGACCTTAACTTATGATATGATAGCACTCATAGCTTGATGTTGGGTGTGTTTCCAAGTTGCTATAAACCTTTGGCTTTAAGCTTGAGCTTCTCACTTGCTAAAATACTCTGATTAGTTAAGCTCTGTGTCCAGTAACTTCTTTATAAAACCTCTCATTCACATTCTCTGCTCAGCTCGTCTCTGTCACCTCTCTCTCTCTGACACTGCAGGCATCAGCACAGGAAAAACACAAAGAAAACACGATTACTCAGCGATGCTGTTAACAACGTGTTAGGCTGCCTTAAATCCACCATGCAACATGTTAAAGTCTGAACTCGTGGCATTTATTATAACCTAAAGGTGACCAGCCTATCATTGATGCTATATTCAGGAACTGAAATGCTGCATACTGGGACCCTTCAGATTCTGTGACCAGCAACCTGCAGGTAGCGTCACATACACAGCGCATGCTAAACACCGACTAATTTAACTGATGTTCAGTGAATGATAATTATCTTCATTTTCACTCTATTGTTTTTTATTTTATCTTTTGCAGCTGCAGCACATGTCCCAGTGAGGAGCAAGCACCTTTTTCCCTTGCAGCAAAACGAAAAATGAAGCAGCACATAGTTATTGAATGTCACAGGGCGGTGATAAATGTGTGGTGAAAACCCTACAAGCACAGTCGAACGTCCATGGTTTGGTCTGATAGGAAAGTACTGTAGTTTCTATCAGTCTCAGTGACTTCCTTATTCCTTAATTAGTCTGGAAATCACAACTGAAACCAACTGGGTTATTAATGTAACTAGAAGACGCTGGGTACTTTAATATCTTCTGTCACATAAAAATGTTGGAAATTGCCTTGTTTAATTGTGGCAGTGTGAAATAGAAATAGCAAATCACTCAACTATCATAAAGATTTTATGGTAAATATTAATGAACAAATATAATTATGATAATTATTGTATGATGAAGGGGTTAAAACAATGACAGACGATAAAGGACGACTGCATTACATCACACAGTGTTGGCTTTCCCAGCCAAATGCTACCAACATGCAACTGAAATATACAATCATAACTTCAACTACAAGATACAAAAATCAAGGATGATCAAGGAAACCCTAACCTTGCATTCATCAGCAGACAGATTGTGGTATAGAGGGCAACCTGATACAGCAAAATGACGTTCATGTTTCCCCGTTAGGTGACCTGGGAAGTTGGAGACAAGGAAAGTTTTAATATTAAAGCAACAACAGAATACAAATCATGTTCCATATGCTCAACAAACAGACAGTGATACTCTTGGAAAGCCTACGAGTAAAATGTGCAAAAAGGCTAAGAATTTTACCGAGAGAATTACACCCTGGAGTCGGGCATTTCATGTTGAAGTTGTAGGTTTCGTGACAGCGGCGGCGCTTGGGTCGATGGGAGAGGTCCTTATCGGAGTCTCTGTTGGCTTGGTCTTTGGATTGGCTCTCATCGTGAGAGGCATTGGGGCTGGAGATGTCCAGTTCAGATTCAGAGGAGGGTGCATTTCCCGTGGGCGTCAACGGTGGAGATTCATCATGGTCTGCAGCTCGCTTCAAGTCCGGAGTGTCTGACGGACAAGAAGTCAAACCCCCATGATCATAAACAACTGAGATTCGGAACACTGTGAAAGGCTTTGTGTTTGTATTTATAAGATATGTTGACCAACCCTGAGAGCTTTGGCTAAGGCGAGTGGAGGCTCTGGTGAGGCGCTGTCTCTTGGGCATGTTTCCATCACTTTCTGAACTATTGGTCTGTTCTCTTTCAGCGGAGGAGTCAGAGTCTTCAGTTCCATCTGAACCACTCCCAGCCATGTGTCTCTATCAGGGGGAGAGAAAAAAATTATTAAGTGGCGCCTCATCCAAAATAACCTAATCATGGTGCAGAAAAAAATGGTGAAGATCATGTGCCATGACAAAAGTCTGTGATGTCAATTAGACATGACAACAGTTGAGGTCTGTCTTGCACAGCGTAATTAATTAGGATCACAAGTATTCATTATCACTGAATCTGTAGCAATGGGATTATTATGTAACAAGAACTGACTTCTTCCAGCTAACTCTGTAATCATATTTTCAGAAAGGCCACAATCAGCTGTTAGCTCTCTGTTAGCTGGTTTTTTACAAACGGCTTAACAGCTGTTACTAAGGCTAGAGTGAAACTACCAAACAAATATACTTTCCTAAAGTTAGCATTTGGTACAACTAGTCAAAAAGTCTTACAGTTACTAGTCAAGGCAGCGTTTTACACGACAAATTAGAGAGCGTGGTTAGCGCCTCAACCTATTATTATTGTTAGCTTAGCGTGTCACCTTAGCTAAGCTGCTCCCGTTTTCTCATACAGCTAATAGCCTGTGGCACCAAACTGCATTAACAAATCTGGCATTTAAGATGTACAGCCTTACGATTGGCTTTATTATCAGTATTAAATTACATATCATTGTACATACCGCAGTGACTGAGGTCTTTTTGTAAATTCGGCGTACATATTATCCACAAAGAACCGTTACATATGAATAAAATCTAAGATAGTGTCTGACATTTGGCTTAGCTCCTTGTTACCGGCCAACACGGTTTAACTCACTTTAACGTTCACTAAAAATGGTAGTAAAGGCTAAATAATGACGAAGCTGTTAAAATTCAATAGACTGTGAAATAGGTTTTACTGAGGTGGACTAAGTCACTGACGTTCATGGAATATGCTAGCCCGTTAAATTGTCGGTTTGTTGAACTGAATATGGTGGACACTTCCAACAAGCTAATCACCCGCAGAATGGAGCTGAACGGTGCTAACTTAGCTAACGCTTGTGCGACCTACATTTGTTCTTACCTGTCTTCTGCGAGGCATGTTGTCCCGGGTGGCTGCTACTTCATACGGGGGTGAAGTAAGGAACAGTACAATCCAGTAAACGTCGGGAAAAAAAGACGAAAAATAGTATTTATTGTCTCCTCTGTGGCATTAGTTCATATGTACACAGCGTTGCCTGGGTCTGTCGCGCCACATTCCTCACAGACAGGGCAGAGCGTCTCGCGCTGTCCTCCAGACCAGCAGGGGGCGCCATTGTGATACACCGCAGTAAAGAAGGGCCTCACCTCCAGGAGGACGGGGTGGGAGCCAATCACCTGGTACTGCACTGAGTAAAATGTTTATGCTCACATGAAGCTCCATCCATTGCTGGGGAAGTTGGGTACAGATCAACAACGTGCTGACTGGGATTTTCTGAATCAGTAATGGATCCTTGATCAAGTAAAATATTATGTTGCAGAATAAATAACGCTAAATGAGAGAAGTAGTTTGTCTACAATCTCAAAAGAACAAACACGCCTCAACAGCCACATAGAGGTTACTTGATTTGTTTACATCCAATTTATACTAAGTAGGTGCACATTGTGTTTATTTTCCAGAAAATGTAGTTAAAGTTTATGCAAATATCATATTTATGCTGCTTAATATTTCTGAGGGCCATGAGTCACTAGAGGAAATAAAAATAATGAGATTACCTGTTTAATCAGGCTAATTACACGTATGTCTAATTTCTCAAGTTAAACAATGTGTTTATGTCTTCAATAAAGTGTCAAGATAATAAAGGGTGATGAATTGGGGCAGCAGGACGGTCTCCTATAGTCCTATGTGAAACAAAAAGTTGAGTGTTGACTTTTCATTTTTAGACTTATTTTCAGTTTTCAGCTAGTTTTTTACAGTAAAAATACTTGGTCAGGTTAAGGAAAAGATGATGGTTTGTCTGCCACATACATAAAAATAACTGACCCATTACATGTACAGTAAATTTCCCCTTTTATTTTAATTATATAGGTTTAATGTAAAGAGTTGCATTTAATACAACATTGTTTTTTGTTTTTTATCATATTGAGTCAACATGAATAAATTAAATACCTTCAGTCAGATTTGCTTTAGTTAATGCAAACTTTTACATGTACTGTGTTTGACTGTGACACTGCTCGTGAGGGTGAATGGTTGTTGCTGAGTAGTGTTTATTGGTTCTTCTGTACACAATATTTCTGCTTGCAAAGGAAAGTGAATAAAGATGGAGATGTGGCCGATGTGTCTGTGTGTTGTGGTCTGAGATTCTTGTCCTCTAGTGACCTCCAGTCTTTCTGAATGTTGCACACAGAACCTGTAATCACATATAAAGGTTGTTAAAAACACATTTCCTGATCATGATATTGTTTCCATGACTGAACTATATTGTACTGAGTGCTTATCCAGTATTCACAGTGTTGATATTTTTGTCACCCCTTTAAAAGGCACCGTTGTTGTCCCTTGTTCTTCACTGCTTTTGTTCCATTTTACATACTTGTAAACATTTAAGAGTGAAATCTGATTAATGCATACAAAAAATAACCTTAAAAGGGACAAACTGATCTGTTTTAGCGACGAATTAAAAAAGAATGTGTCCATTTTTTTGCAAATTGATAAAAGTTTTCTCATTCCCACTGATGAAATACATAAAAGTGGAAAAGAAAACTATTGGACAAACCAAATGTAGTCTCTGAAGCAGAGGTGTCGCAGTACACCGGTACTGACAAAAACTGTAAAACTAAAACAAATAAAATAATGATATCATGATCATAATAAACATATAGTATTATGAATATATTTTAGATTATAAATACTGCTATTTTTAGTGTAATTTATTTGACAGCAACACAGACCAAACACACATCAACATAAATCAATTTGACTGACAGCATTATTTGAAAAATAAAAATTAAAGGAATGATGTCCAAGTGTTGTCTCTGCATTGGCAGATGTCCCATTAGTTGACATGTTTTTCTGTTTTGAATGTTCCTGCCCCCACCTCTACCCTCTGAAGCACTCGGTCGGGGGCAGCTGAAGTATTGGAGAAAATGCATCTGCTTTCCCGAGTGTTCCACTGGCAGACTATAACGGGAGGGGAAGGGGCTGTGGCAGGCAAGTCTCCCAGCAGCTGATACCAACTGCTCTATATATAGCCTTCTGGGCCTGGCCTTTGCATTAGGACACGGAAAGAGCTGAACGAAAGAGCCACATGCTTTTTACTTTCCTGTAGTTGAACACAAAAGTAGCTTTTTGTTACGTCTAGTGCAAGAATTAGAATGAACAAACCCAAAATCGTCAGACCGGAGGAGAGGTGAGTGCTGCCTGTGCCTCGTAACAGAAGTGACTTTTCTAATTCTTCTGAAGAGGTTTCAGCCTTGAAATCATTTGTTCTTTGTGTCCTAACAGCCAGCCAGCACATGCTCTGTGGTACGACAGAAAGAAGTATGTCACCATCACCTTCATAGTTCAGAAGCCGAAAGGTGTCCAAGTTGATATCCAGGCTGACAAAGTTATTTTATAGTGAGTTTTAATGGCGTCTCGTGACCGACATCTGTCTCCTGATATTAGTCTCTGTCTTCTCAGTGTAACAAGAGTTGTTGAAAATGTAATTAACTGTCTAACAGCTCTGTTCTGTCTGTACAACAGCTGCAAGAATGACACAGATGATGTGTTCTACAATGAGCTGCACCTCTACGACAAAATCCAGATTCATGTAAGCACCAGTTTTGGCACATTATCAATTTTATATCCTGTCTACTTAAACATTTGTATTTTTATCACTTTAAAGGACTCCAGAGAAAGAGTTTACGACCGTACGATCAATGTCTTGCTAAGAAAGGTGAAGCCTGATTATGCGTGGCCTCGTCTCCAGAAAGACTCAGCAAAGGTAAGTGTTCTGTGTGTTTAAAGTCATGAGGTCCCCTACACCGTCAAACACTGGCTCAGATTCATGGGATGTATGTCTCTTTTAAGAGCTTGGAGGGAAGTCGAAATTGAAATATATTTCCCAATATTATATTATATTATATTATATTATATTATATTTCTCTCCAACATTTGCAAATCAGGTGGTGCAATTCGACATACATACCATAAATGCTTAGCTTTGCATTTTAAAAATTTTTTTTATTTGTTTTCATACTTGTCTCCTGTCTGCTCTCTATAAATGCAGCCTGCAGTTCAGCTAAAAAGTCAATGAATTTTAACATGGCACTGATGGTCATAGCTGAGTCACTAATCGCTCTCTGGTTGCAATGAGGAACACCGAATTCTTTGTTTTTTACAGAACATCATTAATGCTAATACTTGATTTTTGCCAATTTTTTCAATCAGCAAAAATCAATAAGTTTTGAATAAAGTGCCATTGATGAAATATCACAATTTAAAGGTTAGATTTGCTTTTTGTTCATGACGATATGGCACATTTTAGAAAAGAAGTTCAGGGAACTTTATAAAGTTGAAAATATGATCATTTGTTTTTGTATATAAAATGTAAATTTGTGTGATTAATTCTTTTTTCCTTGCAGCCCAGTTGGATTTCTGTGGACTTTGATAACTGGAGGGACTGGGAGCATGAAGAAGATGAGGGAAAGGAAGAGTACGACAGATACGTGGATGTGAGTGAAGTCGATGGGCTCAGTAATAAAATCAACTCAACTTTAATATTGCTTCAGATCTTAGTTCAGATTGTGCAATATTCTTTTTTTTCTGAGTGCTCTGAATTTACTTGCCTATGTGAATATTCGGCTTTGTTTTCACAGATGATCCAAGAAATGGCTGAAGGTAACAAAGGAGGAGCACCGGACATGGGTGATCTCAGTGATGTAAGTGCAGCGTTCTGGTAGTCGAGGAGTTTTTGAAATTAAATATGGAGTTGTGCCTGTAGACAAATGGTTAAAGCTGTGTTCCACAAAAAAAACCCAAATGGATTCACAGTTACAGCATTTTGTTCACTTAAACCCAGTCAAACTCTATACTGTTAGAATTCCCTCCAGTTTACAGATCTTCTGATAATTGCATGCTGTGATGTTGACCGAGAAATTAACCATTCAAACATGGACACTGACCATTTGTTCATTTTCTTCCCTCACAGTCTGACTGAAGCTTACAGCACTTCATCACCTCTGTTGGTGGCTGCTATAAAGGTGTAGCCCGGGATGCTGAGGGCATTGTTATGTTTGCTGAAGCTTGTAATTTCTGCCCAAGATTTTATGTGTTATCGTCCAATATACTGTTTACATATCATTTTATATGGCTTTATTTATTGATATTGTCCCCTGTACACTGGATTGTCATTTTAATAAAAATATGTTTTATCAACCACTTGCTTAGTGTTTCTAGTTGATGCTAGAAAAAACATAGAGAATAACAAATACTTTCACAGTTGCTTTTACAGACTTTATGTTTATTTTGTTTTTTGTGAATGTCATTTTTTGTGACCAAACCCTTGCTGAGATGGAATGACAGATCATTGATTGTGATCAACTAAACTAAATATCTGTCAATGAACATGTCAGTGGCACCAGAATGACAAGTCCTTGTGTCACTGTGTACAGAGAAGACAGTCAAATTGTTTAGTCATGTTGTCAATATAACAGTGTACTCGGGAGAGATGTTCTGATGTAAACTATGGCCAAAGTTTTGATGACATTTATTGTAAATTGTGAGTTACACCTCAGTGTACTGTAATTTGTTGACAGACCATGTCATTGCGATACAGAAAGGAAAAGACAGCACTGCACAGCACAAAGAAAACAAAAATAGAAATGTGAACATAGGGCGGTCTCCTCAGGGAAAACTGTACATGCAGTGCTGTAGGAATTACAGTGCAGTCTTCCTCTATACTTGCCAGTTGATGGTTCATAAGATGCACCTTTGAGCTATTTCAGAAAACTGGTTGATCATTGGTTGATCTATGTAATGCTGCACGCATTAAACTTTAAACGTTTCGGATGGTGATGTGTTGGTTGGATGTGTCCAGACTTTACACAATTCTGTTGTGCTTATATACATTGTATTGTATGTGAACTGTAATAAACACTGTACATATAGATATTAACTGCTGTATACGTTTTGCAAGATATGGTGGATCCTATCTTGTGTCCAAATATCTTTTTTCTTTATATTTCCCCTGAAAAACCTTTTTTAAAAGCATTTATGAGGTTTGTATCATGCTACAGCAAATCTATTTTTAAAAGGAAGAAGTCGAAGGCATTAAGTTTGGACTACGTTGCTCTCCGTACTGAGCAGACAGCTGCGAGTGTTTGCTGCATGAATGAGCCCGAGTGACAGGCGTTTACACTTTATGGTACCAGGCAGGTGGAATATTTCCTCTAAAACAACACAGAATGGCTTTTCAGTGTCAACGAGACTGCTATATGAAAGAGGTATGAAGCTGTTTCACCGCATGTGAAAATAATTCTGTGAAGTTTAACTGCACTTCTCTGCACAAGTGATTAGCATGGTGGCTAAGTAATGCTAGCTACCACTACAGCTAAGCGACCTTTTATTTTTACTAAACACTATATATAGGTTTCATTTTGTAGAGGTTTTAAATATGTATTCCTATGCAAACCGTATTATATCTATTCATGCTGTTTTTGACGTTTTAAACCCAGCTGAAATGTAAGAAACCCCCAAAACCTACTGGAAATTATATATTTTTTCACTTTTGCACATTATGTTTTGGTTTAACAGCAATGATTTTCAGTCTTGATGCTAGTTATATATATATATTTTTCTTTTGCAAACCTTTATATAGGACTTAAATCTATCACCCAGTTTAAAAGTAGTAGCTGCACATGACCAGTTCTTATGTCATTCCTGTCCTGTAGTTTGTTACCTCTGTTGTGTCCTGCTGTCCTGCGGAACTAAAACATGAAGTCAATGGAAAGAAAGAAACTCTCAAAGGCTTCAACGTCAAGCTCCAAGACACCATCTTGTTTCCTGAGGGAGGTGGCCAAGTAAGATATTTAAATGTCTCCATCAGGCATGTTCCATCAGTGATCAGGACGAATGCATGCATCTGTTTGGGAATAGCATCTGTGTTTGAAGAGACACTAAGTCACCGTGAGCCATGCTGCCTGATATTATTTACACAACTTGCAATTTGTATTGTCCTCCTGCAGCCAGATGACCATGGACTGATCGGAGATGTCCCGGTGTTGAGGGTGACGAGGCAGGGACCGGAGGCTCTACATTTTGTGGTCACCCCTCTGGAGGAGGGTCAGGAGGTGCGTTTGAAGGTGGACTGGGAGAGGAGGTTCGATCACATGCAGCAACACTCAGGTAAGGACTGCTAGCAGATATGTGATCTAAATCAGGTGACTCCGTTTATAGATGAAACCATGAATGCATGAGTGTAACCACTATTGCACGCTTCCTAAGCTACGATTGTTTCCTTCCTCACTCCTAGGTCAGCACTTGATCACAGCGTTGGCAGACACAATGTTTGGATACAAGACCACATCCTGGTACTTCACCACTGCACTCATTCATTTCCCTATAAAGAAGACGACTTTAGGGTTTACCTCTGATCTGTTTATTTATTTGATTTTTTTCTTCTTTCAGGGAACTGGGGCGTCAGAGAAGCACCATTGAACTGGACACTCCCTGTATGAAACCTGCTCAGCTTCAGGAACTGGAAGACGTCGTAAATGAGAAGATCAGAGGTCACATTCCTGTCACTGTTCAACTTCTCTCTATAGATGACCCTGCTGTGGAAAAGGTGTGCACGCAGACATTACTGCTGCTAAAACTTGCTGCCTGTTTGATTAAAACATCAAAGTTTTTCATACTGATCAACAGATATTCTTTGCTGAATGTGAAGCATCTGTTAACTTGATTAGAAATAAAGATTTTAGGGGTTCCCCGGTAGCTCAACTGTATGTAGAGGGGCTATGGTCCCTGACACAGTGGCCCTGGTTCGAGCTGCATGTCCTACACCAACTCTTCTCCCCACATTTCCCCATCTCTCTTCACTATCCTGTTTAATAACGGCATTATACACCCAAAAATAATCTTTAAAAAAAGAAATAAAGATTTTACGTGTGTTCTGTGTAACACAAGATATGTGTGTGTAAAACAGGTGAGGAGTCGAGGGCTGCCAGAGGACCATGCCGGTCCCATTCGGATCATTGATATCGAGGGCGTCGATGCCAACATGTGCTGTGGAACTCACGTGTCCAACCTCAGTCACTTACAGGTACAGTTTTACACACATACAAAGCAGAGAGTTCGAGAAGCGCTGGTTGCTGGAAAAGCAGCTGACTACTCTATGATGCTCATCTTTGATTGTAGTAAAACAGTTATGATTAGCAACTTGAAATTCACCAGGTGTGCACATTTTACAACCATTTGCCTCCAGCTTAAAATAATGCGAGCCTGATAGAGCCTGTCTGTTTGTACCAGTGTCTCCCGCTGAATGAGTGTGTGTGTGTTTCCCTGAGAGGTTGCGTCCTGCCGAGTAAAGAGTCGTCTTCAGTGTTTGCCAGCTGTTAGCAAAATCAGTAATGAGAAAAGACATTAAGAACGCCGATTGCACAGACAGAGAACATCATCATTAGACGGGCTGCTTTGGAAAACACAGATGGCAGAAACTTGACGACTGCACAGTAATCATTAAGCTGCTTTTTTTTGTTATACACCACACAGATGTTTATGGGCTTAATGAATGACGAAATGAATGAATTATCTCCAGCAGCGCCTACTCACATTAAAACAGGCAACACAATCACAGTAACAGACCAACATCACATGAGGAAAGTGTTTGCTTTTCCACAGCTCCCACTATAAATTTACACTTCAGAATGTCATAGAGCACTTCTGTATTTTGTGCCATCGACCGATTATTCAAACTAATGTCAGATGCCTCAAATAATGTCAATCAATAAGTAATTATGATGTAATGAAAGCTCGTGCAGTAATATGCCTCTTAAAAGTATATTGTTTATCCACATCATATATTTTATTCATGATTTGCATTTTTGGTCATTGAGTCATTTTCTCTGTGTGTAACAAAGTGATCTGCTCAATAATGTAGAAGAAAAAGGAGAGAAAATATACCAACCATATGAACCTAGAGACATCAATGTGTCTATAAATAATTAGAAAATAAGACGTTGAGTAAAGATTCTTAATTCTAAAATAGTAGGTGTGGGCTTTATTATTAATAGCTATTTACATTCTGTGTGCGCTAAAACAAACAAGAAGCCTAATTTTTCTTTACAATATTTCACTGTCAACAATCGCACAGGCAAATACATTAAAGTATGCCCTGGACTTCCCAAGCTGGTCACCATTTTTCTACTGTCTGGCTATTCAGTTTCCTCTTGGAAAGCTCTGCAGACACACAATGAGTTTTTAAGACTTTTGAAGTCTTGAAATGTATTAAAAATAAATCACACATAATCATACACATGATACTCAGATGATTTGAATATGTTACTCATTGTGTATCTCATGTCTCTTTATTTTAGGTCATAAAACTGCTGGGAACTGAGAAGGGAAAGAAAAATAAAACCAACCTTATATTCCTGGCAGGAAACAGAGTGTTGAAGTACGCAGAGAAAAGCTACAGCACCGAGCGTTCGCTGGTGTCTCTTCTGAAGTAAGTCTGAACTGTCAAAATATCTCCAGTGTGAATTCAACTTATTCACATAGCTGGAAGTGAAGATGATTCTTGTTGTTTAACAGAACGGGACCAGATGAGCATGTGGAGGCTGTTGACAAGTTGCAGAAGTCTGTTAAACTGCTGCAGAAGGTAAGACAATTCATCAGTGATTTCTTCTGAAGATGCTCACTGACTGCTTCGTGTTCGAGAACCGTTACAGTGTAATTCTTGATTGCTACCACAAGAGGTCATAAACTAACTACAGAAAGTCCCATTTAGATGAGAATATTTCCATTTCGTGTCACATATTAGTTGCACTTTGGCTTCCCAACTGCTATAAAACTGTCTTTGTCAGACGAACCTGAGCATACTTCGAGATATGGCCGTCCTCATCGCTCAGAACTTCAAGAACGACCCCCAAAGAGGCAACTTCTTCAGCCTGCACAAGTAAGAACTGAAGGTTTAATGGTTATTCTGTGGCATATGTTAACCAGGAAAAACCTAAACAGTGACACAGACTTAAATAGACTCTGGTCAAAGTTTGATGTTTCTTTTTTCTTCTTTCAGAAAAGAGGGAGACAATGAGTTCATGAATATTATCGCTAATGAAATCAACACTGAGGTAAGATCATAACCTGACTGCTTCTTTCTAGGAATCAGCAGTTGACTATTTTTAAGCCCCGTTTTCTCTGCTCTCAGGAAACTTTGGCTTTCCTGACTGTCGGAGAGGAAAAGGGACCTGGTTTGTTTCTCCTGGCTGGACCCAGTGAAGCAGTGACTCAGATGGGACCACGGTAAGAGACCTCGCCACACAATGATCTTGCTCTCATTTAAAATAAAAAAAACTTCATGTAGGTGTGTACCATATCCGTCTCTCTGTGTTCTCCAGGGTGTTGGAGTTGCTCCAAGGGAAAGGGGCAGGGAAAAACGGCCGCTTCCAAGGCAAAGCCAACAGCATGGCACAGAGAGCAGAGGTGGAGGCTTTACTCAAGGAGCACTGCAAACATCACACCTCAGAGGAGGAATAAACCAAGCAATCGTTCAGCAAATATGCTTTATATTAGCTGAAGGGATGCAATAATTAAGTACAAGCCAATAAGTAAGGGGTAGTGCCTGATTAGATGTCCACTATCAGGATTTAATGGATGACATGAACTGTCCTAAATATTCATATTTTGTGATAACCACGAAATGATCACTGCACACATATCAAGAATTTGATCATTCTTGTCAAAATGTATATAAGTGGGACTTCTGTACAACATGTGCTGTACATAAGCTGTTATTTAATGTAAAGTACTGCTTTTATTCATTCAATACCGTAACTTGTGTTGGTCTTTTTTTTACAACAACATTTAGTGTTACATGTGAATGCACAGCTCAGGGGCACCTCAAAATAGGCAATTTAGACACACAAAAAATAAATCCTAATAAATAAAAATAACACCGTTTCCGACTCATGCTGCTGTAAAGTTTCATATATTTAATTTAAAAGTTCTGTGACAATGCAATATACAAAAGACAAACACACTTGACATGACAGAAATGTTTCTTTGGTTGCATTGGGTATGATTACATAAAAAAAATGGAACCCTTTACCTTGTAGTCTAATGATAACAGTAGGAATATTCAATCCAGGACAATGTCACCACTAAGTACTACCTTAGGGCTGGATCAACACCTTTTCCACACAATGTTTTTAACAAATAAAACTGCAGCACTTTCTTACAGGACTGTTGTAGTGCATTGCATTACCAAGTACAGAACTGTCAGTATTCTGGAAACGTATAACAGATGTCTTTGTCCCGATGTACTGCTCACAAGTGTGTCACAGTTTAATAGTGTTGACAAAACGTTTGTGCATTGATACAGTGCAAATGTGCAAGCACCCCTTCCCATTAATAAAACACTTAGGCAGTAAAAAATAATAATAAAATTGACTTGATATCTTGTTGATATGTTCAAAAGTCCTTTACTCTTTGCTAGAGCTGCTCCTCCATTGTAGAGTTACTGGAATGGCTTCACAATCTTCATTGAGATGTAGTTCTGGGAAAGGCAAAAGAGGACAATCAGACCACTGCTGCTCTCTAGTCTGCACATTGATCACACAGCATCATGACTGTCTTTGCCTCCTAAGTAAAAAAAAATCCTTCAAATATGACGCCACTTAATCATTAGCGACCAGAATATTTCAGTATATATGATAAATATCACTCTGTGTCCTTACCGGTAAAGAGTACAACAGGATTGCGATGAAGAGCAGCACTATGATGAGGAGGATAATTCCGATGAAGAGCCACTTGAACCTTCTCCACACAATGAACTTCATGGTCTTACACGGGTTGGTGAACCAGAAGAAGGAGGTTTCCGGACGTCTGGTGGTTTTGAAAAGTGAAAAAAAGTGTGTTATTACTGCACAATACAATAAGTTTGGTTTAACAGTCATTCTAATGCAGGGTCTTACTTGGGAGGGTCCAGTTTTGGGTTCATGTTGGGTTCGTCCCTTCCTTTTCCTGCAGGTCTTTCATCGACATCTGCTTCACTTACAATCTCCAATGTCATCTCTACTTTTCCCTATAAACACAAGACAAATAATGAGGAAAACGCAAATGCATAACAGCAACCTAACCTAATAATCCAACCTACATCATAACAGAAAGCACCTCAGGGCACTTTACATAGTAAGGTCAATGCCTTACTTTGAACAAGGCAGTTAATCTAAACAATATATTCATCTGTTGTATCACAGGGTGTACTTTCTAATCATACTTACACCCAGGACCGTCTTCCCATCCTGTTGGAGGGAACAAGGCCACCAGCCTCGGACCGACTGCTGAGCAAACAGAGATTTGGTGTTTTCTTCCTTGTTTGGTGGTACTATGTCCAGACCATCCATCATCCTCAGAGAGCACTTCTCTGGGGTCTTCGCCGGAGCAACAAGGTTACGCAAATCCAGCTCCAGAGCACCTGAAGTCACATGATGCTTATTCAGTAAGGTTTGGAAAAGGCGGTCTTACAGATGAATGTTGTTTTGACTTTATACAAAGCTTCTTACCGAGATAATCGTCCAGCGAGAACTTGTCATTGTCCCATACCTGAACAATCAGCTTGGGGGGAATCCTGAACTCTGATTTGTCAAGACTCCAAAAGTGTTCCTGTTGAATATCGTATATACAAACAGGTTTTAGATGGATTTCAACAAGTCTTAATTAAAATGGTATTAACCCTATTCAGGACTTTCATGTTGACATACGTAGAAGGAAAGAATATGTGCAAAACATGTGTTGGTATTCATTATAGACTTTTAGACTATGTTAAATACATTTTCTGATAAGTTAACACATTTTTTGGTTCCAAATATATGACAAATGTCCCTCTTTTTATATTAAAAAAAATCTTCAAAAATAAAACAAAACAGTATCTGTCACCTACACCAAATGGTCTGGGGTCCAAAACACCCCAAAAGTCCTGAATAGGGTTAAAATATCACTAAGCCAAAATGCAACAAGCCTCACCTTCTTGGACACGAGGCAGAGTTGTTCAGCTGGCAGGTAGTCAAAGCCGAAGACGAACCGCCAGTTAAAGTTGCCGTCTCCATCCAGAGACCTGTAGTGGACGTCAGTTTTCTGCTTGTCCTCCTCCATACCTGGCATCCAGCTGGCACAGACAACAACATGGTCACTCGTTGTCCCGTCTACAGTGATCCTCTACCACAATTTGTCTCAATAGTTCAAGCAAATCAATGCCAGAACAGCTAAAAGATTTGAAGAAAATAAATGAACAAATGCAGCATTAGCAGACTTACCCTTTGACATAGATGTCACTCATGTGTTCTCCAGTAATGCTGGTCTCATCCAGGATCACATCTGTGGTGTTCCAGATGACAGCACGCAGGAAATACCTGAACATTCAAACACGGTCAACGTTAGCTCAGCAGCATCAACTGTGACACACAGCGAAGAGCAGCACAGCACTTACTTCTTAGGCTTGCGAGGCGTGATGTCAAATGGAGGTCCAGGGATTCCAATGCTTTTAGGGAAGACGTCCACCCACATCTGAAGCTTTCCCTAAAAAAAAAACACAGTATATTTAGGTTTTACAAAATAACTGAGACATTGGGCACGAAAACAGACACAGTATGTGACATCTAACCTGAGAGAGATTGGGCTGGAAGCTGCTGTAAAGGGTTCGAGTCTCCACGTGTTCGGGGACGAGTCCCTGCGTTCTGAGCACGTGCAGACAGAGGCGTTCACGGGGTGGACCCAAGTGCTGATGGATTTCCTTGTTGTTCTCTTGATGTCAAAACACAATGCACCTTAATTAGACTGAGGTTATATAGTAATACCAGTGTAGTCAAATGTGACTTAAGTACAATATGTTAGTCATCCTAATATTGTATTAGTATGACATTTTAAACTATATTGACAATTATTATTATTACACTGGAAGGCACAGAGAGTAGAAACACAGTCTTCATCTGAAATCCCCAAATTCTTCTGAGATTTATGTTGCATTTAAATTAGTGTAGCTTATACATTAGCTCGTTGGTTATAGTTGAGCAGGTGGGGCAACTGTTTCTGACATGTTGTTTTAGGGTGCAGGAGGTTTGCTTGAATCTAGGAAACTTGAATGCAACTTTTACATGACTGTGTGGATTACACTGTTGCATGCTTAATGAGTGGCATTAGCAGCACAGCAGCAGCTTACAGTTCAGCTTTTAGTGGCTCATCGGTTAAGTGTCTGGGTTACTGATCAGTAGTTTGGGGGTTGAAGTTGTCACTGTTGGGCCTTAAACCTACCTGCACTAGGCTGTCTTATCATGACCGACCCTGTGCTCTGACTCTAACTTCCTAACAAGCTGGAACATGCAAAGACAATTAAAAGTGTGTGCTGTCATGTATTTGCGACAAATAATAAAAATCTGTCATTAGATGTGTGATGACCTCTCCTGCCCCTGCATGCTTTCATTGCTGCCTTGTTTTACAGATATTTGGACTTTAGGTGCTGCTCATTTCTGCCCATCTGGGCATAAAGTACTACCCCTCTGAGAGTGTCTCTCAGTCAGGCCTCCTGCATCCACCTCCACAGTTTTCCTTTGCCAACACGCTTTGCACCATATTTCCACACATCCACACTCTCCTTCTTACCCACTGCACCATTTAATCGTTTATTAGTTTGAGTTAACTAAATTACTTTTGACTGTTATATCAGTGTGTGGCCTTCCTCTTTGTCGCCAACATTTTGCCTTAAGATAACAAATGAGTGCCTGTCTGCTGGGAAGTTAGTAAATTCTTCTAAGGGATTGTTTTACACAGATTTTGGCTTCCTCTGGTATTTTAGGGATTAATAGCTTGGCTTGATTTTACTGGACTATCTGCATTCCAGGAAGTGTGTTGTTGAAAATATTTCAGCCTGGTAAACTATATTCTCCTGAACTGCCAGTAAAAGGTAGCTGCTTCTAGGTCATTTGGAACCCTTATTCCTTACAGGCAGTTAGTCGGAGGGATGTGTTTTCATATTTAAAGAAGTCCATCTTCCTGTGTGGTAGTGGTGGAAACTTTGCCTTGAGATACGTAGATGTACTAATGGCTTCATCAGTCTATTAAAACAATGGCACT